CAAAAACTTTGTAACTGTACCTCACGGTGATTTAATCAGAAATAATAGCACTGCAGCACTGTCCTCCCGTTGTTCACTGATTTGCTTGAGTGGGCACCAGTAATATCTCCATTGTAAGACTTGTTGTTACTGTTTTTGGCATATCGAATATGCCACAGGGAGCTTGCCAGGCTCTGCCATGCGGGTGGGATACTCTTTGGTAGCTTGCCGGGCTCTCTTGAGAGGGATGAAGGAATCAAACCCGGGTCTGCCGGGAGCAAGGCAAACGCCCTACCCACTGTGCTATGGCTCCAGCCCGATCAGAAATAAATAATAAATCAAAAAAGCAAAAGGGACGAAGCGCGGGTCCAGGAAGAAAGGAGGATAACCAGATTTAGGTACAGAAGGAGAGGACAACAGTGTCAAGTATTGTTGAGAGGAAAGTCACAGGAGCACATGGAACTGGTGCTCTGTCAAAGTTTTTACGTAAACTTTGTTTGCCCCCTTCCTTCCTCTGGTGGCTCCTAACTCATTCCCTCAGGATATGCCCGAAGGCATTGTTTGGTTCCCCTTCTCTCCTTTCAGCCAGTGTATAGCCACCACATTGCCTGAAATCATAGAAACTTTTTTTAAAAATTTGTTTATTTATTGAATCACTGTGAGAAAAGTTACAAAGCTTTCAGGTTTAAGTCTCGGTCATGCAATCATCAAACACATTTCCCTTCACCAGTACTCATTTTTCTCCAAGAAGAACCCCAACATACCCGCCCTCCCAACCCTCCCAATGCCTGTGAGGCAGATGAATTCCAGTTAACGCTCTATCTACTTTGACTCGATTCATTGTTTCGACAAAAGATGCATCATTATTATTTAGAGGTTACACCCCCAAATCAGACCTGTTGAAAAGACGTTGTGAAATAATTTGTTTCTACAGCTGGTTACAAGAATCAAATCATGATGCACGGCCACTCTTGCGGCCGCGCAATTTTGGATTTCTGATATTTTACTTATTAAACCTGGAAGTATTTCTGCTGAGAGTCAGATAATTATGATATTGGTTTCTGTGGCTCTAGAGCCATGGCCGGGCCGGAGAGCCGCTCGTGGGGGGCAACTCGTGACCTCGGTAGGGCGTGAAGGACGAGTCCGGAATGCCCCCTTTCCCAATCATAGAAGCTTTTACATACATGTTTATTGAAACAAAGTTTACGTAAAAACTTTGACAGAAATCATATAAACTTTCACCATGATCTGGGTCAATGCAACAAGCAGGCCACACTGCAGCTCTCTCCATAATAACCTCTACAAAGGCCACAGAATTAGGAAAATGAAGGCTGGGAATTTTGATAACTAAATATTTTTAAATACTTCTCATGCTTGTTGACTAAAAATAAAGTGGCTCAAATGTACCAGCTATCAAAGAAATACAGATTAAAAATAAACTGACCACTATTTTTTTTCTTCCCGAATCAAATTGGCATCTAGAAAAAAAAATCCCGTATGGGCAAGGCTCAGCAGACATTCTCATATACCACTGGTGGAAGTGTTAATTGCTAAAACTTTTCAACAGGGCAATTTGGCATTATGTAGGATTATATATGCATTTTAAAGTTCTTTCTTCACACCTTTTGGTCCAGCAATTTTTGCTTCAAGCAATTTATTGTAAAGAAATCATCAGAAAGCACACCATGATTTTTATTAAGAGGATGCTCACTAGAGCACTGTTTCATACAAAATTTAAAACCAAGAGCTCCGTGTTAGAAGTAACACATTCGTAATTTTGGGATAGAACTCATAGGATTAAAACAATTTAATGTATGAAATATAGTATCAGAATCATTTGATGTATGAAAATAACTGAATTTACAATTAAGATAATTTAACGGAGGAGCTTGGGCCAATAAATGTAGTTAGCTATAAAAGAAACGCTCTGTTATCGCGAGAGAATATTAAATGATAGGAGACACTGTATATTTAAAAAATTAGGACAGGGCCAGAGTGATAGTACAGCAGGTAGAGCTCTCTACTGGTATGGCACTTGCCTTACACATGTCCAACCTGGTTCGATGCCTGGCACACCAAATGGCTCCCTGAGCACCACCAGGAGTGAACTCTGAGCACAGAGCCAGGAGAAAACACTGATCATTGCTGACTGTGGACCCCAAACAAAACAAAAGAACATGCTGTTCTCTCAAGAGACCATTATTCTCTTAAGAGACTATCTGGAGGGCTGGAGTGATAGCACAGCGGGTAGGGCGTTTGCGTTGCACGCGGCTGACCTGGGTTCGATTCCCAGCATCCCATATGGTCCCCTGAGCACCACCAGGAGTAACTCCTGAGTGCAGAGCCAGGAGTGTAACCCCTGTGCATCGCCAGATGTGACCCAAAAAACCAAAAAAAAAAAAAAAGAGAGAGAGAGACTATCTGGAGAGTACATCACCACACAGACTTAACGTTCTGGTTGATGGGTACAGCTGTAGCTGCCTAAGACAAGGCTTCCATACAAATTTAATTGCTTATAAAAATTCCATCTGCCAATATGGGGTAGCTAGTTTTTGCCCCTTATCCTAGTGCTCTGTGGAAAGGGGGCAGTTTGCAAAGCAACAAATGGAACTTATGCTATGATGATTCTGGTTTTATAAAGAAAAAGAAAAGAGGGGCTGGAGTGATAGCACAGCAGGTAGGGCATTTGCCTTGCACATGGCCGACCCGAGTTCGATTTCCAGCATCCCACATGGTCCCCTGAGTACCACCAGGAGTCATTCCTGAGTGCAAAGCCAGGAGTAACTCCTGAGCATCACCGGATGTGACCCAAAAAGAAAAAAAATAATAGAAATATTGGAGTGGCATCAACTTAACTTAAAGAGTAACTATTATTTCTGGACATGTTTAAGGTTGCTGGGGTTTTATTGCTCTTTCAAAAACGTTTCATGAGGAAATACCACGTGACAGGCACTGTTCTGGGAGACTGAAATACATTAGTGCAAACAATAGCATTTGTGCCCTTGTGGAAGTACAGATACTTTAGCAGGTGAGGATACTAGAGAAAAAGCAGATCAGAAACAGATCAGGGAATGGAAGGGCTACACCTTTAAATGAGTGGTCAGGGTAGGTCTCATTGGTTGTGACACTTTATGGAGGTCAAGGGTCAGCTGCGTGAATATTGAAGGGAAAGTATTCCAGAGAGGCCTGGTTAGCAGATGCAAAGGCCCTAAGTTTGGGATTATGCCTGATGTATCCGAGAATCAACAAAAAGCCAGTGTGTTAGGACCTAAACAAACAGGGGTCTGATAGGGCTATTCTCCTTCCAATGCTCTCTTGACAAAAATACCTTTTTATAAAAGAATGCCAAAAAGAATCACGGTCACAGTCCTCCCATTGTTCATCGATTTGATCGAGCGGGCCCAGTAACGTCTCTATCATGAGACTTGTTGTTACTGTGTTTGGCATATTGAGTATGTCATGGGTAGCTTGCCAGGCTCTGCCTTGCGGGCGAGATAGTCTCGGTAGCTTGCCGGGCTCTCCGAGAGGGGCGGAGGAATCGAACTCGGGTCGACCATGTTGGCTGCGTGCAAGGCAAATGCCCTACCACAGTGCTATGGGCCAAAAAGAATGTTGGTTGAAAACTGGCAGGGCCTTTGTATGAGTTCTCATTGCACCAAGGAATAAATTCTTAAAAGGTGCAGTGAATTATCCAAAACCCATCTCATGCACACAAAAGTTGGTGTTACTAATATAACATCTGCTGAAGGTATGTTCTAATAGAAGCCTAGAACCAAAGGAATGAAGGTTAAAAAAAAATAAGTGGAAGAAGAGCAGGGAGGCAGAGGGTACCAATAAGAGGAAGGGTAGTAAGGCCATCTTTGGTGAGTTCCGGATGACATAAATAGTTCCTGTCTACTCAGTAAGCGGGGGGGGGGGGGGGGGGTGAGTTTGTTTCCTCAAAGGGACATCTGAAAAGGTCTCACAATTTCCGTTTGTCTCAATCAGGGGTAGGCAGGTTATTGGCATCTAGCTGGCAGAGGCCCGGGCTACCGGTGAACATCCAGTAAAGTACAGGGCATCCCCCACTCCCTCCATTCACTATGCGACCTAAATAGCAATACTTTAAGAAGCACCACTTAGCTCTGAAGGAAAAGGAAGTGAAGAAAGCAGAGAACATTACCAAAAATTGGCTCTGGAGTAGTGTTCCATGTAGAGTTGTTCATCAGAAAAGGGGGCCAAATGGATATCGCTGAATGTCGGGAACATCATTCCTAATGAGCAAAAGACAACAGACCAAAAAGTTGACTCTTACAGTCTTCTGATTGAACACTTAATCAACCAAGCCAAAAAAAAATTTTTTTTAACTGTTTCCTTCAACGGCCAAGACTCAGAGACTATAAAAATCAGCTCCCGGAAGAGAACAGTGCAGTCTCCTGCCCCCGCGCCTGGCTGTCCTAGCCGGGGCCCGTTGGAGGGGAGCAGGTTGAGCTTTCCTCCCCACCCCGACCAGGGCTCCAGCAGCCAAAGACCTCCAGGACCAGCCACCACCATGCTGAGACCACTCTCCGCACACCTGAAGGTACCGGCAGAGGGACAAAGCCACGCGGGTTCCGGGGCCGAGATCGCCAAGCCTACTCGGATCGGGGCTGAGCATCCTCCACCCAGATCCTCCAAATTCCAGTAGGCGGGGGTCACTCTCACCAACTGGCCCCTGGCGCCGTGTAATCCCTTCAATGGCCAAGACTCAGAGACTATAAAATCCAGCTCCCGGAACCGCGCGGCCGCAAGCGACATCTTATCACGACATCTTACTATCTCATTCCTACTTTGGACAAACTGGCAGGCTACCGAATGTAGCCTGCCCACACGGCAGAGTCTGGCAAACTACCCGTGGCGTACCCAATATGCCAAATACCAGTAACAATGATGGGTCCCATTCTCCTAAGAGCCTTGAATATAATCTCAGGGCTAGGATGAAGGAGACGTTACTGGGGCCTGCTCGAGGCAATCGACGAATAACAGGATGGTCGTGATTCGTGATTGGTTTCCTTCATGGTTTCTCTCCTTGGTCATCATCCAGAGGACTCTGAGAAGGCTGTAGGATCATGCAGGCACAGACTCCGGGCCCAGCTTGATCTCCAGTGGGGTGGAAGAGACTGTACATCACGAAGCAGAGGCCTATGCTCCTCTCTCCCACCATGGACATATCGGGGGAGAGCGACTCCTAGGATATCCGGGTTGGAAGCCAGTTCTTTTATTCTATATTTCAGTTATACAAAAGACTAACATGGACTTTTTTGCCCCAAAGCAATGCTAAGAAAATTATGTGGTCTCAAGCAACAAACACCACAGCAAACTTAAATCATGTTTTTTCAGAGTCTGCAGTCAGGAAAGAGGTACTTAGAACATTCTTGAACTCAGCTATTCCTTTAGGTGAATTCTGTGCTTGGAAGCTTACATACTTCCTCCTTGGCTGAATTTTCTTCTGAGATCATTCCTGAAGTGGTGATCAGGGATTATTTCTGATGGTGTTTGGGGCATCATATTGTCCTAGGGATGGAACCTATATAAAAAAAGCCTGTATTCCAGTCCTTTGAGTCATTTCCCCAGTCCCCTTAATTTTTTTCACTTATTTCTGGTAATACAAAAAAAAAATAACTTTGTTTTGAAAACAATCAACATTATATCATTCAATTACTTTATTATTTATTTATTTATTTTTGCTTTTTTGGGTCACACCTAGCGATGCACAGGAGTTACTCCTGGCTCACACACTCAGAAATCTCTCCTGGCAGTTCTCGGGGGACCATATGGGATGCTGGGAATTGAACCTGGGTCTGCCGCATGCAAGGCAAACACCCTACCTGCTGTGCTATTGCTCCAGCCCCCTTTATTGTTTTTATTCCTAGACTTTGTCCATGTTTTATCTACTGGTCTTTTTAAGTGCTCTGGGAAAATATACCTAAATGACAGCTTAGGCCCTTCTAGGAAGCCAACATTTAGTTTTGTTCCTGCCATCTAAAATAACACCAGAGGAAATGCAGCTTCTTCTATTTTTTTTTGTTTGTTGTTTTGGGGGGGTCACACCCAGCAATGCTCATGGCTCACTCCTAGTGAGACCATAGGGGTTGCCAGGGATTGAACCCAGGTCAGCTGCACACAAGGCGAGCCACTTTACCTGCTGTACTATTGCTCTAGTCCCAGAAATGCAGCTTCTATAGCAGGAAAACAAACCCCTAAACTGGCCTGCCTGGAGCTTGGGATTTTCTGAGTAGGCAGACCTGGGGATCCATATTATTTTTGAAATTTTACAGACACTATTTTTTGGTTGCAGTAATTTATAAAATTGCATGTGAAAAAAACATGAGATATTCAGAAATGAGAACTGCCTATGAAAAATAAAAGCAATATAAAATATAAAACCAAAAGAATAATGTAAAATGAAAAAATAGAATAATTACATAAAGTCAACATAAAAACAATAGCACCAGCAACAGTAATAGCAAAAATTTCTGGATTCTATTAACTCTGCCATGAACTTTGTTGTGGGTCCTTCATCTATTCAGTTAATCTTCAAAATAAATAAATAAATAAATAAAAACATAAAGCAGATTCTCTAAACATAAAATAATCTTAAAAATGAAAAATCTAAGAATGGAAGAATGTAAGTGACTCATTATTTGCTCGATTTGCTCGAGCGGGCCCAGTAACGTCTCCATTGGAGACTTTGTTGTTACTGTGTCTGGCATATCGAATACTCTCGGTAGCTTGCCGGGCTCTCCGAGAGGGGCGGAGGAATCGAACTCGGGTCGGCCATGTTGGCCGCTTGTAAGGCGAACGCCCTACCCACTGTGCTGACTCATTATAATAAGGGCTAATAAGTAGGAAAAAAATCCAGGCATGGGGGCCTCATCCAATTGTCAATGTCATCTAATTTGAACTGTGCTCTTCTTGAACATATTCATACAGAACAGACTGTTACAATTTAAGGCACGTTCGGAAATGCCCAGAGAAAAAGTACAATCGTACTATTGTTGGTATGTCCCTGTTTGAGTTTCATGTATTGCTATCAAATTGACGATTGCTTGATGATTTTCAAATTTCAAAACAGGGAACGACATTTCTAACTAAACATTAGAAAGAAATTTGGGAGATAGCTCAAAGGATTGGTGAGCATGCTTTGAATACTGAGGGGGGACTATTGTCTGCCGTGGAGGCAGGGGGTGGGTGGGAAAGGGGGGGTATACCGGGGAGATTGGTAGTGGGGAATGTGCACTGGTGGAGGGACGGGTGTTTGATCATTGTGTGATTGCAACCCAAACATGAAAGCTTGTAACTCTCTCACAGTGATTAAAAATTTTAAAAAATAAATAAATAAATAACCATCTGTAGCCCTGTCACTGTAGCACTGTCCTCCTGTTGTTCATGGTTTGCTCCAGCCGGCCCAGTAACATTGTGAGACTTGTTGTTACTGTTTTTGGCATGACAAATACGTCATGGGTAGCTTGCCAGGCTTTGCCATGCGGGCAAGATACTCTCGGTAGCTTGTTGGGCTCTCCGAGAGGGGCACAGGAATCAAACTCGGGTCAGCCGTGTTGGCCGCGTGCAAGGCAAATGCCCTACCCGCTCTGCTATCGCTCCAGCCCAAAATAACCATCAGGAGAGAGAGAGAGAGAGAGAGAGAGAGAGAGAGAGAGAAATTCTTAGATCCCCTGAACACTGCCAGGAGCAACCCTGGAGCACTAGACCTGGAGTAGCTTCTGAGTACTATTTAGTTCTAGGATGGCCTCCCTTCACCACATCTCCCCCCAAACAGAAAAAGATCAAACAACAACAACCTTTAAAAAATAATAGTTTCCAGTGCTTGAAAAAACCTGAAAGCTTTGGAGGAGATATTCTGGGTCCCAAGCCTAGTAGGAATTTCAAAGCTATTAGATAAAATGGAAAGAAGTAAATCAATAAAGGCAAGACTACAGAAAAATTCAACATGTTGGAAAAAGTGAGTCTTTTGATTCAACTTTCTCACTGAGTGATATGAAATTTTAAAGCATGTCACACTAAGAACACAAAAAATAGAACATACTAGAGGCAACCAGAAGGACAACTTTTGTTATGCTTGTTTAGAATAAATTCTGTCATTGTAAAGGATTAGGATGTTATAGGATTTCTCAATAGGACTATTGGGGAGTCTCTGTTCCCTCTCCCTCAAAAAGAGAAAACACAGGCTGGAGTGATAACACCACAGTTAGGGCATTTGCTTTGCATTCGGCTCACCAGGTTTCTATCCCCAGCACCCCAAATGATCCCAAGCACCACCAGGAATGATTTCTGAATGCTGAGTCTGGAGTAACTCCTGAGAATCACTGGGTATGCCCCCAAAGACAAAGTCAAATAAAATAAAGAAGGAAACATTTCATTGCTTTCAAGGTAAGATTGGGTCTAAGGCCTCAATAAAAAAAAGTAGCTTCTCAAGCAAGCACCCTTACTCTAAAATTGGTTGAGACTATTATTTGGTGAAATGAACATAGCAACCAAGAAAGACAAAAGAATGATGATGGTCCAGTGATGGTAGCCATGCACTAGGTCTACAGAGCAACGAGTTCATAAGTGCCAAGGAGGACAGATGAGGGCAGGAGGAAAGTTTCCAAAGAATATGGACATGTTGGACCATGGAAATTAGTCAGTCACGTGTGTATAGAAAATATTAAACTAGGGCCAGGGTGATAGCACAGCAGGTAGAGTATTTGCCTTGCAAAGTCACCGGTTTTTGATCCCCAGCATTCCATATGGTCCTCTAAGCACTTCTGAGCACAGAGCCCTGAGGACCACCAGATATGCAACCACACCTTTAAAAAAAAACACTTGGGGCAGAAGCGATAGCACAGTGGGTAGGGCGTTTGCCTTGCACGCGGCTGACAGGGTTCAATTCCCAGCATCCCATATGGTCCCCTGAGCACCGCCAGGGTAATTCCTGAGAGCACAGCCAGGAGTAACCCCTGTGCATCGCCAGGTGTTACCCAAAAAGAAAGAAAAAAAGGAGAGAGAGAAAGAAAAATAACAGAAAATCAAGCTAAGGAAAACGACAAAAACTTGCAAAGGATAATTACAACCACCTACAACAGGTGAACCTGACTCAGTCCTGAACATTAATAACATTGTCATAATAACAGAAGCATTGATTGTTGACAATCAAATAATGATCTAGACCCATAATTCCTTCTAGTAAATTCTAAAATCCAAAAAATAATCCGTGTAAAAAACAACATATAGATGTATATATATGTATGTATGTATATACATATCTGTGTGTATATCCACACAAATCCTGTTAATCGTCGATTGCCTCGAGCAGGTCCCAGTAATGTCTCCTTCATCCTAGCCCTGAGATTATATACAAGGCTCTTTTAGGGGAATGAGACCCATCATTGTTACTGGTATTTGGCATATTGGGTACGCCACAGGGAGTTTGCCAGACTCTGCCCTGTGGGCAGGCTACATTCGGTAGCCTGCCAGTTTGTCCGAAGTAGGAATGAGATAATAAGATGTCATAATAAGATGTTCCGGGAGCTGGTTTTTATAGTCTCTGAGTCTTGGCCGCTGATGGGATTACACGGCGCCAGGGGGCCAGTTGGTGGGTGTGACCCCCGCCTACTGGAATTTGGAGGATCTGGGTGGAGGATGCTCAGCCCATATTCGAGTAGGCTTGGAGATCTTGGCCCTGGAACCCGCGTGACTTTGTCCCTCTGCCAGTACCTTTATGTGTGCGGAGAGTGGTCTCAGCATGGTGGTGGCTGGTCCTGGAGGTCTTCGGCTGCCGGAGCCCTGGTCGGGGCGGGGAGGAAAGCTCAACCCGCTCCCCTCCAAGGGGCCCCGGTGGCGAGGACAGTCAGGCGCGGGGGCAGGAGACTGTGTATATCCACATATGTATATAAAACATCATTTGGAGATAACATCATTTTGTGGTAAAACCAGACTTGAACTGAAGTCTATGTATACTTTTTGCGAATTCTGCATGATATCCATATTAAAAATATGTTTTGTTGCAGAAATACGATGTGTTTCATTACAGAGTGTTCTCCCTGATCACTCCAGAGGTGTTAATACATGGGATATGACTGTATTAACTTCCCCCAAAGCCTCTAGATTCTGAATTCTGTAATGCATCTGACATTAAGGGTGTGCATAAGGGATTAAAGATATAAATACACTCTGGGACGCTGAAGAACGGGGGGTGCACTGGGA